GCCCTTAGCCAGTACCTGAGCAGCACACCAACTATCAACCAGAGATTTACCTAATCTACACAACGATGTGCAAAGACAATTTAACTAAGTTAAAAAGCACCTTTGTTAAGCATGTTGCAATATCTTTGAATGGTGTTTAAACATTTTCGTTGGGTAGCTTGATTAAGACTTAATCTTTAACATTGCCACTGTTTGAATACCATAAACCGCCAAGAATCCAACCGTCTCAAACATTAAGCTCCATTATGACCAACACAACAGTTCATGCCAAAAAAGGCCATAAACTTAACACTTTATGCCAAACAGGGCCATACACTTAACACTTCATGCCAAACAGGGCCATACTCCAAGCAGTGTCTAACAGAGTCCACATTCTCCACAGTAATAGAGAGAGACGCATACCTCAATTTGGAAAGGTGACGTTGTTGGCGGGTATCGTTCAACAACTTTACCATTTTTGTCCACCAGAAACTTCTCAAAATTCCACTTGATCAGATCACCTAAGAATCCTCCAGCACTCGATTTCAGAAACTGGTATATTGGAGCTGTACTTGGTCCATTGACATCAACCTGTTGAGCAAAGCATTTTGTTAAGAGCGATTCCTATCTGCAACACACTGCACCAAGAGAAAGACAGTCTGACAAACCTTATCAAATATCGGGAATTCTGCTTTAAACCTCGTGCAAGCGAACTGCTTAATCTCTGGATTAGATCCAGGCTCCTGCCCCCCAAACTGATTGCAAGGGAACGCCAGAATTTCAAATCCTGCAACATGATTAGAAAAGGTGGATGGGTTCTGGCCACATGAAAGTGGTTTCAATCACCTCATTTCAGCAATAATAATGCTACTCAGACAATGAATAAAGTTTCTTGTCTCCCAGCAACGCCTTTGAATGAAGCACTTACTTTGCATGAAAATGGTAGTGAACCAAACTATCCCTTAACATTTTGTGGGCCCATTATCTTTCATAGGCTCATCATATTTCTGACTAATTATACTAGATATGCTTCCCAATCTCTCACACACGTGTGCACCCCTAGATACAGACAGTATAAAGGTAGCCAATGTAGGCCGGATGTAGGCCCTGTTAGCCTACATTATTGGACAAACAGATTTACATGATATTCTTGTCGCCCCAGTATTGTAGGATACTACAAATGTTCACCACTTCTCCTAACACACACACACACACACACAGATGTGCACAAATCCTTGATTTTCAACTTGGATAGTTGATGGGATATGTCCATTTATTTTCAAAATGATTTGTATTATTGACAATGAAAAAGCTGACAAATGAATCGGTGACAACCATGAGTATGCCACCTCAGTAGAATCATTAGACTAGTACCTACAACAATATAAATAAAAAACTGAAAAGAAAAAAGAAAAGGAAATACCTCTTATTCAAGTAATTTAACGGCCTAACCCACATGGTTATATAACTTACATTTGAGTTCACCTCTTATGATTTGTCTAGTGCATCCAGCTCTTCTTCCCTTTATTTATAGTTGCCAATAAAACAAACGATGTAACTTGCTACCACACCAGTTAGTTGAATCACCAAGAAACTCAAGATAGAGACATAAAGACCCCATTCCAACTGAGCAAATATTATTTCTCATCTAGTATGCAAATGACTTTGATGAGTCGTAAGAAAAGTCAATATGCGGCGAGTATTTTGGCTTTTTCGTACATTGGTAATTCACATTAACAGTTAAGATCAGGTGTGAAGACAATAGATAAAGCAGGGGGTCTTTTGGCTACCACCAGTAAAATAGGTCCAACCACAGATCATAAGGAACTGTTTGCACGACTTATTGAAGTTTTAAATACAAGAATCATCAAGGCTAACTTAGTCTTAGTGTGAAACATGGAGGGAATCAGGAATTATGTCGTTTGTTAGGCTGCAATTGTACATGATTACATTTCGATTACCAGGAAGTTATAAAATTACTATGCTAATAATGAAGTATTAAGAAATGCACTTTGATATCAGCATTTTTCAAGAAGTTTAAGCTTGTTTCCATTGCCAAACTTTGTTGAGCATCGCCAAACAGTAAGCTTAGTTTTAGAGGGGAAGGAATTACATCTTCATGTTAGCTAACGAAGTATAGGATTCTCATAGTAACTAACAAATACAACAACGTTGCAAAATCTAGAGTATTCAAATATACTAGTATTGCATCTCAATAATGTATACAAGTGGACAGTTAAGGCCTAAGAACATCCAGATGGGAGCAAAAATATAACAAATTCAAATATTCAATGTATTGTTGGAGTGTGAACGTAAACACATGCTCCAAGAATGCCACCAACACGGTGAGTTTAGAGTTTGATTTAAGTTTCTCTTCAAATAGAGTTCCTTTTGGATGTGGATTTAACCTGATTTCTATTTTGGCTTCAAGTCAAATAATACAGGTATGTTGAAGCAACTACAGTTGTAACTCGTAAATGTAGACGAATAGAAGAGGGGGAAAAATCTTCACACTTTTTAAGTGTTTGCTTATGAAACTGGCTTTAACAAAAATATGATGGTTAAAATGCTGTACTCAAGCCACAAAATAAAACTCACCTTGAGTTTTGTACTTCTCATAAATGTGAGCGAGTTCGGAATAATTTGATGACGTCAAACCACTGAATCCATGGCCAAATTCTTCAGTTAGATCGGAGGCATACAAAAACTCAAAATCGAGAGTATTAAAAGAACATTAAAAGTACAAACTCAATACTTAAAATGAAACAGCAGGGAATAATCTCATCTTAGTTATTTGTAACAAACACGTCAGCATAATCATAGAGGAAAGAATACCATTTTGAAGCAACATTGACAATCAACAAAACCTTTCCCTTAAATTTGTCGAGAGAAACATCATTCCGATCAATATCCTGCATCCAAAACCACCACAAGTTTTTTTCATTTCACAATTGGATGCCTAAGGTTGATCACCTAAATTACAATCAAAGAGAAAAATATAAGCAACTTCCAAGGCTCATCAACTATCCAACTTGATATCAAATTATAGTATTCCAATACAAACGACAAGACTGTCTGAACAATTACAAAATCATATTAGGCCCCAGATTGAACAAGAAGAACACCTAACAAGAATTGTCTGCCCTCTGTATGTTGCAGTGGGTACACTAATAAGATTTCAGAGACACATCAACATGGGAATTGCACAAACATGTGTTCTCTCAACGGTCCACAAGTTGCTGAGGACATTTTTGATTGGACAGACTAATAGGGGTATATGTAATCCTATGGGATGATAAATTCCCACCATACTAGTCATAAGGCATAACAAACGGTATTGGTTGTACAACGGATGCATAATAAGAATTGTATGCCCTATTTATGTTGCATTCTAATGCCAGAAATACGATTCCATGGTATTTGGAAGGTTGCCCCAACAAGATCCCCAAAAAGATTGTTTGAGCCTTATTTTCCCCCAAAATGCTGCATTTAAACAATTTTTTTCCCGATAACGGTCTGTCGAAGGAGGGCCAAATGGAAAGAGAATTACATTTTTTACGCAGCATATACTCGCTGTCTTTTCTTTTTACCCTTCTTCTATTCCATCAAACTGGACAATCATCAATTCACACAAGTTTTTAACAACACAAGTACACAAATACACAGCTACATCAAATGAGCCCACCCTACAAATTGCTATTTATACTCTAAAGAACAAACATAAAAAGGCATCACATACAACATATCAGTCAAGAATCACAAAGAGGATGGACTTATGAAGCAATAAAGAAAGACCTCAATTTGAATTACAACAAACAAAAAAAAACATCAAAATTGGGTAATTAAAAGAATATCCACAGATAGATTTCTTTCACTTTGGGTCACAAACATGTACCTTGACTGTGTAATCATAAATTGTCTTCTCCGTGGCCGCTCTAGCATGAACGGTGAAAGATCGTGGTTTCAACAGAAACCCAGAAATATTTGAGGATTTAAGAGACAACCCATGTTGGAAAAACGCTGATTTAGAGGACCCAATTGAGGATTTGGTAAGTGGAGAGAGGGAAGCCACGGGAGAATAACAAACCCATGAAGTATTTGGGGTTGGTCTTGGTTTGGTTTGGGTGAAACCATTTATAGGTGCAGAGAAAACTGAAGAGGAAGCCATTGAAGCCATGTTGGTCTTGAATTAAGGTTGGATTAGGGCCTGAAACTGGAAAGAGTGAACTAGTAGGCAGTGAAGTCCTTGCAGAATTGTGTGAAATGTGTTGATGGTGCAGAATGGGCTTTCAGAGAGACAACCACGTGGTCCTTTTTCATTAACTTGTTCTTCGTCGGACGTTCTTTCACTTCCAGAAAATCTAGAGGAATTTCTGTTTTTGGTTTCCACTATTTTCGCATTGAAGTCGTGAGCCCAACCATGTACACAATGGGTAAGCCAGATTGCGTTAGATCTATTTTCAGGTCTCACATTAATGATTATAACTGTTTAATTTGTTTAATATCTTTCTCCATCCTAAAATTAGTGTTCAATCTGCGAACTTATACATTAATAAATTGCATTTTTCCGTTTAAAATTTTTAAATTTCTTCACAACTTAAAAGACCTCGTTGATATCTATTAATTTGTGATAAAAAAAATATTTATTTTTATGAAAGACATCCATCTTTTTAAAAGGTTTAGGTTTGCGGGCAAGACACTTATTTAGAGACGGAGGGAGTATTATGTTAAGGGCTTTGTAAAAAAATTAACTAATTAGGATATCGTAAAGGACTTGATCGATTTTCGTTTCTTAATTATTTTGCGAGAAAATGGAGTAAATTCCAAGAGCCATACGCCACTGATGTACAGGACAACAGGAAAAAGTTCTCACCGATGTTTTTTTCGGTCCTCGTGCATCGAACCGGCAAGCTGCTAGTTTTTTTTTTTCATCAAAAATAAAAGATAAAATTTGCTTACGACTAAAAATTTCTATCTCCAAAATAAGAAAGAAATAAAGATGAATGTTTAAAATTGAAAGGGGGTGGATGTAGCCAAGTGGTTAAAGGCAGTGGATTGTGAATTCATCACGCACGGATTCGAATCGCGTCGTTCGCCCACTCCGAAAGAAAGAGGGACAATCCGTTTTCTTACCCATGAGTTTTCAATTTTCATTCTGGTTCTTACTAGTATATCTGTATTTATTTTGTTTATACATGGAAGACCCTGGCTGAAAACAGCCATATATAGCCTATAAATATAACAAATAAGTTGCATGAAAGAGCTTGCACAAGTCTTGGGCTGACCCAGAAGGGCCCATCTTGTTTGATGGGCTTATTTAGGATAGGCCGATTTTCACACGCTTATTATATATGAGAAAAAATGACGGGTCGGTCCTACTTTTGAAATCTATTGCCAACCAATTAAGTCTTTGCCGTCTAAGTGCATGTATATGGTTCATGCATGAACATGGTTTGGTACATGACGCAGCTCAAAAGTCATTTGTCAAGTTCAAGAGAGCGAATGGAAAAATATTATGAAATAAAATTATGTTGTTTTCTCGTAGTGTATCAGTGTTACTTGTAAAATAATCTACCTGTTCTAAGTTGTAGATCTTGAACGGTCTTGGACGTGCAGCCTAGCTAGGGTTCTAATTGCATTATTTGAGAGCGTGTTTCACTCCGGTCATTCTTCTTTTTGAAACATGAACGAGAAGTATATATAATTTTGAGGATATAATTGAAAAGTTGTATATTTGGATTCCAAACATGTGTTCTTCACATGCTTCAGGAACTTCATTATTATTATTTGTTTGCATTTTGAGACAATATTTTAAGTGTCAATCTAGGATGTACCAAGATATTGATCTAATTTGGCAAATGGGATAGAAATGCATGTTCAAATTATGACGAACAACCTCTTTAAATTAAGAAGCATTATTTTGTTAATTGGTTAAAAATAAATAAATAAACGGCCCTTGATTGTCATGGCACGTATAGGGCATACTAGCAAGTAACGGGCTTACTCTTTCAAACTTGTAAATTTGACATCGAATCGTCAGCAAAACATCATTGGGGTCACTGTACGTGGTTCGACATCTATCTGTCAATGACAGCAGAGTGAGGAGTTTACAGTCCAGAGCTTGAAAAACTTTGACTACCAATCACCGCCAAAAAAAACTCTCGGAGTAATGGAGATTTACTGGGTTGTTATTTTTTATTATTTTTTAATGTTTTGTTAGATGATCTGATGTTAGTAGGTTAAATTTCGGGCATACATCATGTTCCCTCTCTATCTCTCTAGACTTTCTTTACCCCTCCCCTCTAACTTTCTTTAGTATGGTTTTCCCAACATGGGATGGGGTTGCTGCCTCTACCTCCTTCACCTCCCCGGCTCCCCCTCTGCTCCTCGCCGGCCATCCCCACCTTCTATCCAAATCCACCTTCCATTCTCTCCCTCGTCTCCACTCCACATCTCCTTTGAAGTTAGATATGACGATGTCGTGCAGTAAGGGTGGCTTGGCTTTTGCTCTTCCTAGCTCCAACGAATAACACTAATTTTGGCACAACGCTTCCGGCGTCATTGAGGATGGCTAGAGTTTTTTATCGTCTCTTTTTTTTTTTTATCTATTTTTTTTCCTCCCACGTGGAGATTTTTTCTTTCCCTTTGTGGAACTTTTCTCATCCCTTTGTGGGTGGGTAGTTGATTTCATTTGGTTTGGACTGAGTTTTGTTTAGGGACCCCTTACTACCATATTTTAGACTAGCCGTATATCTGAAATTATTTTCGGTCATGCATTGCAATATGTTACATTTGAGCTTTGCAATGTGTATATGTGCTCGTATCTAGATGACCAATAATTTTGGTTCATTCATATTTTATTTAATGAAATCGCTTATACCCTTTTGGCTTTGAAATGAAATTTGTGAAATTTGCCGTATTCCAGCGGCTCAAACTCACAACCTCACTCTTGGGACTCTAATCGAACTGGAGACGACTAGACTGGAGCCCAAAGTCATTAAATTCAATGCTTTGCATAAATGAAAATTTGGTGTATGGTGCATTCACTCATAAATGTTGTGGTCTCGTACCAACATTTTGGTGTCGGCCCACTATATAATTTATGTGGCCTATATATCACTTTCCATTTCACCGACCTAACATTCTTTAGGAATGAAAATTTGAAAAATGACAAATTTCTCATCAACCCCAACCATAGTGGTAACATAATATTAGAAAAAAATTAATATTATGTTACTATATTTTCTAGGTTTCAATATTGTATATATTTTCTGTTTAGGCTAGGTTGATATTTGTGTGTGTGTGTGTTTTTTTTTTGTTATGCGTACTTCTTTTATTAGAGAAAACTAGGAGAGCCAAAAATAGTCATGAGCGAGATAAACTATGATGGTAGAGATTTGAGGTGAAATTCGAGTGCCCGACGGATGACAGCGAGACTTAGGCCTCCTGCTGGAAAGCGAGTATCCCTCAAGACCTATAGCTTTTGGCACTAATACCATGTTAAGAAAAGAGAATTGACGAGAACTTTGTTTTCATTGATGTGTAATATATATTGTAACTATAACACGCCTTTATATTGTCTACACAAATTGGTAACCAAGAAACCTAGACCAATAAAGAAAGTACACATACGAAGAAAACAAAAATATCAACCTAGCCTAAACAAGAAACATAATATTGAAATTTAGAAAACATAGTAACAACACATCATATGAGCCGTCATAAGAAACCCAAATTCCTTGCTAACCTAGGTTTTGGGTGCATTCTGGGTTGGTTTCTTGCTAACCTAGGTTTTGGGTCTCGGGTGGGCAGATGATAGTTCTTAACTTTGCTTAGGATTTGATGTCATCATCCCTTATCCTTTTGATCTTGGTAACAATCTCAAGGATTAATAATAAAAAAAATTGTTCAAAAAAAAAAAAAGAAACCCAAATTCTATAATCGACAAATTGGTCCGTTTTCAAAAAAAAATTAACAAAGGTTTTTTCGCTAACTTTATGGCCACATGATGTTTGGTTGTCCAACACGAGAAGAAGGGATAATGACTGACGAATCTGGGATAAGAAATACGGCTTAGGATCCCCTGTCCTAGTGTCCTACTATTCCTGTCCCACGCCTCTGTCCTACTCTTTGAACGTTGACACATGTCCTTTCCAACAAAACTTAAAAGAGCCCACCACACCCAATCCCTCCTTTGTCTTATCCCCTCCTACCCCTGCCCAAAAACCTCACGAACCTCTCTGCGAGCGATTGCAGCACCGCTGCAACCTCTTCGAACGGCCATTTCGTGTTGCCCCCCTCCCACTCCTCGTTTCTCCCCTCTCTCCTCTTGTAAAACCACCATGATTTCTCTATGGCAAATTGTCATCTCCCTCATCAATTTTTACATCTCACTCAATTGCCACTTGATTGAAAACCTGATCATGGAACAAGCCCTTGCTTCATTTTCCAGAATCAAGTAATGAATTGTAAAAGTATTAAACGAAGAGAGAAATTTGGTAAAAAATCTGAATTGGAAACACATCCTTAATGATTTCATGTGTTTAGATACATATATTTACAGAGAGAGAGAGCGATATATTCAAATTTCAACGGTGAGATTATGGTGGAGTGGGCCGAAGGGAGAGAGGAGAGACGAGCAGTGGTAGAGATCGGCGCGGGGTGGTTGTGAATTTTTGTTGGCAAAGGTAGGAGGGAGACAAGACAAAGGAGGGGATTGGATGTGGTGTCTTTTAATTTTTGCTGGGTAGGACACCTGTCAACGTTTAAAGAGTGGGACAGAGGAGTTCGACAAGGATAGTTGGGCAGGGGATCCCAAGCCTAGAAATACTATTAAGGAGAATAAGATAAACGTTGGGAAAGAGAACTGGTGTAGTCTGATTGTTGGTATGTCCTTTAGGCTCAGTTTGGATGGCAAGAATCTTGAGGATGAAGGAGAATGTAACTTCCATGATTTCGACGTTTGGAAGGTACAAGAATAGAAATGTGATGTCATACTCTCGGGATTCCCATGTTTGAAATAGACAAGAATAGGATTGTGATTCCTGACGACACATCTGACCAGAAATCACATTACCATATTAAGTGAGAATCTGATCCTCCCTTAGAGCATCCGCAATTGAAATAATTAAAATCAATAACCAAAATGTGCCACGTCAGCATTTGATTATTCATTTAGTTCATAATCAAACTTAACAACCTCTATATCCACATTAGTTATTTTTGCATCTCTAACCCAAAAAAATCTCAAAATACTCTATGCACCTATGTCCAATTGCAAATGAGTTTTAATCACGCATTCGATCACTCTAAATTATTCGTCTCGATGAGACGATTCCAATGAGGGGTGTTTTTGAGTTATTGAGTTTCGAGTTTCCTTATCGGATTTGGTTATTGAGTTTTGGTTATTGGTAAAAGTTGTTAAGTTTGGTTATGGAATTGGTGGAATTTGATTATTTACTAAAAGACTTGTAACTTTGCTTATTACAATGTGAGGTGTTTTTTGAGCATTATTGTTAAGTTTGTTTATTCACATCCATTTGATTATTACAATGCGGATGCTCTTACCCCATGGAAATCTTAGATTCCCTGCTCAATCAATGTAAAAAAGAAGTATTGACTTCGATAAATTTCCAAAATAATTGATTCATGCATAAGATTACTGAATTAATCCAAACACTAGAATGAAATTATTTCGGGTATTGGATTCCTAGTAATCATATTCTTATTTCCACTCAACAAAATTTCTAGGAATTTGATTCCTAATAATCATATTCTTATTCCTACCGAAGATTTCGGCCATCCAAATTGAGCCTAATCCCATGTCCTCCATAAAACTAGTTAAGTAATCCCATAATCATGAGATATATCTATGGTCAATAGGAAATAAATAGGTCTTGAAAATAGCTAAATATTCTAATACGATCTCTTTCATTAATCCTGTAACAAAAACATGTCTTACATTGCTTGCGGAGAGTATTTGATGAGTTTGTGGTGCTCTATCTTATAGGGGTGTCCCCAAAAAAAAAAAAAATTCTTATAGGGGTGTCAAAAAAATCCCGAAAACCGGTAAATCAAACCAATTCGGACCAAACCGAAC